CCCCAAAACCCCAAAACCCCAAAACCCCTTTTTTACTGAAGAAATTGAATAAATTTATAGGAAAATGGACAAATGTGAGGGAAAACAGAGGGATTTTGGCCCAGTTGAGGATTATAGGTGAGGAAATGTGCAGGTTGAGGGGTCTATGGGCACTGGGAATATCCTGTGTGACGGTTTTTATGTAGGGATAAGATAGAAGGGAATGTAGAGCGGTTGGATGGATCTCCAACAGCACGATTTAAGGTGTATGTAAGGTCGAGGGATTCAGAGACATCTCCGATGGGGCTTGAAATCTCTGAGAGTCATAGAAATTGATCTTAGTTGGTTTTGATGAAGATGTTGGGAAGGATCAGAAGATAAAACTAAATAAGATCCTGCTTAAGAGTGATTATCAATTAGCTCTTAGAGGTAATTAACAACTCTATTAGAATTTTATATTTTACATAGAGACTTCAAGCAAGCCTTCTCACTCAAGAAGGAGCAACGGTCAGCAGAAGAGTATGACAAAGTCCTGAGGAAATACGAAGACCAACTACTGGTCTTCTAAAGTGAGCAGTTTGCAAGAACAATCTCAAAAGAGACTAATGGGCGATGGAATCCCTTTGGTTCGAAGCTTACTTCCTAGTAACGAGAACGGCAACGGAGGGATTTTACATAAACAAGAAGTCAGCCTAATCAACTTTCTGATTGAGAAATCAAAGCAAGAGGCAATGGTTCGCAAGCGGCTCCCTCGGTCAAACCGGAAGGTTTCTCCTGAAGTGTTATTTTCAAAAATTGAGAGTGAAGCAGAGCACATAAGCCACAGGAATATCTATAAAAATAACTCACTTACCAAAAGGAATACTAATTTGGAAAATCAAGTCAAAAACCAGGATTTATGTATAAATTCTCGGAATAAGTCTGCTTTTGGAACATACTTTGAGAGAATTCTTCAAAAGTATAAATCTAGGAAAGACCAACTTCTCAGCAAGAAGAAGAATCTGTTATCCCATTACAAGCTGTATAAGAAGAGGAACAAGAGGAATTCATCAAGGTAAGTAGCCTTTTTGGACTTACCATTTTATTCATACTTTATATTTCATGGTTTCTTACTAACAACTTTACTGAATTTAGGCTTTCCACTAATGAGTATTGCCATGAAGGGAATAATTCCATTAGTTTGTGGGTGAAGAACACCTCCAATAACTCAAAATCAAGGCAGAAAAGAAGCAAAGAGAGATGCCATTCTGACCTGGCTTCACGACTAAATCACTCAAAAGTTCCAGTAAGTTTACAGAGTTCTTTTGGCAATAAGAGAGTTCAGAAGAAACAGCCTAAATTCTCGTTGAAATAACATGAATGGGCTTATCTCCCAGCGAAGATTGGTGTTTAATCAGTCTAAAAGAGAGAACGAATCAAAGAGAAATCTCTGGTAAGCCATGGTTTTACATTACAGTGCCCCATTGAAGAAGGTAAATCTGAGTATTTGTGGCATTAAAGAAGATATCTCAAAAGTTCATGAAGAAAATAAGCACTCTTCCGACATAAACCTGTTGGGAAATCTCAGGAACAGCATGGATCTCCTAGATGTTATTGATGCCCCTGATATATCAGGAGCGACAACACAAAGGGATTCATATAACTCTTCTCCTGAGAGGAAAAAGATTTTCAGCAAGCATGATACCCAAAATTTTGAAAAATCTTATTTTTAAGCTGAATTTGGTTATTCAAGGCTGAAATCTTGAAGGGGTTTTGGGGTTTTGGGGTTTTGGGG